TTGTTGTAATACAGGGCAACAAATGAGTAAGAGAACACGTTCTAAAGAGATTATGAGGGTTTACGCAGCACAGCTACCAAATTATCACCAGTAGTATGTGACATTTGGAATAGTGAATGAATTACTGATAAGGTATACAGTGATATCTTGATTTACAAAATTAATTCTTTCTGTGATTGCAAACTGAATTGAATGAAAACAGAGTCAAATTCAGTACTTAAATTCAGTGTTAACCTTAAATTTGATTCAGTTCTCATCCAATTCAGTTTGTGACCAAACAGTAAATAAGTATGCACCTATGGAATGTTTTGCCCATCAGCTGTCCCTGATGATTTTACTCTTTTTTTTTTAATATGGAACGCTTCACGAATTTGTGTGTCATCCTTGTGCAGGGGCCATGCTAATCTTCTCTGTATAGTTCCAATTTTAGTATATATGCTGCCGAAGCAAGCACGATGATTTTACTCTTTTGGCAGACCAGATGTCACTAAAGGCCTTTCTCACCAAAGTACTTCCTGAGTTGGAAGGAGTTTTTTAAAGAGCTGTAACTTGTACATCCTTTATCCTCAAGGGCATTTGGTGCTAGTTCCACCTCAGCCCCTGTGTGACTGGGTGACCTCAACTGTGATGGTCTCTCTCTCTGGGGCTCAGTTTCTTCCCTGCAAAGCATGGAGGTTGAGCTGAAGACCTGTTGTGGGAATGCTGTAGATATTACTCTCATTCAGCAAGGGTCCATGAGCACTCCTAAGAGAGACCAGCCTCTCTGTCAGTTTTGCTGAAAGTCAGGCCATCAGACACAGAGGTTTCATGCCTCACATTTCACAAGTGTTTTTGTGTTCGTTTGTTTTAGTTGAAGAAGAATCTATTTTTCAAGATATTTAATTCCCTGAGAAATTTTGTGCTAGACATAATACTGTCACTGGGAGTTCAGTGGCGAGCAAAGCCAGGCAAATGTTCCTGTCCTTTGGTACAATATTTAGGTTCTAGTTAGAGAATCCTCAGTCAAAGAGCCACACGAATAAACAGGTGGCCATGGTGTAGTTGAGTGCCATGAAGGGCAGATGGAAACACATGGGGTGGGGAGCTCACAAGAGGGAGGTTTATTTCACCCCTGCAGGGAGTTCAGGAAGGACCTTTTAGGAGAGTGGCAGGCAAAGGGGCTCAAGAAGTGGCAGTGATGGAGAGGAATGAGCTTTGAATGCACAGACATTACTAGGTTCTCATCCAGCACAGTGACTTGGTTGGTCACAGAACTCTCTGCCTGTGATTTCCTCATCTCTAAACATGGGACTTACATCAAGACCCTTTCTCAGTTACTGTAAGACTTCAAATGTAGGGTATGTTTGACAGTACCCAGGAAGATACTGGCAAAGTACAACTTCATTTCATTGCTAAGAATAACTTTGGAAACAAAGATGTATTGATTTGGTAGTAGATTTTTAGCTTAGGAGAAAAAAATGAATATACTTTTGAGGCTTGTTTAAAAATTTGTGTCTACATCTTGCCCTGGAAAATGCTTGGCTTCCCTTAATCATGAAACTATATTTGAATCACTTAACTGTGAAATCCCAGGAATAACCTTGCTGCATGTTTAAGTGACAGAGGCCCACCATTTGGGGACTGGCAAAAATTTAGATGTGCTTAGCCTGACCTCTTGACATTTGTACTTGAGTGAAAGAGGCTGGATATGTGAACAGCACTAGAATGAGAAACATGGCCTAACCCATGGTCCTGTGCTCCTCTACACTGTCTCTCTGCTTAGTATGTCATGGAAAGTGGTCACTGTGTGGTGACTGCTGCTTGTGTCTCTACAGTTCCTCCTCCAAATAAACTTAGCCTGGTGTTCTTGCATAACTCAAGGTCTGACAATTACTCCTTTAATCTTACAAAAACTAAAAAGAGGACAGAAACAACCTATCAAATGTTTAAAACTAAAATGGCCAACAATAATAATAAATAATTGCTACAGTAGTTTGAGGTCAGGGTCTTAATTTATTGGAGGCTGTTCAAGAATTTGAAACTCTTCCCTAAGTTAATTTTTTACATCTTCTTTGGATCCTCAGAACTCTTGCTTCCAATCCAAGGCCATCAGACTTCTCATTGTACATGTTTTTCTTGCTGATGTGCCAGATACCCTAAGGACTGACATTCCCTTTCCGTAGATGGGTGATGATGATTCCTCCTCCTAAAATTTGTATTTCAAAGTAGTATAGCCTGTTGAGAGTTTCAATAGTTCTCTTCTCTTTCATGCTGTATTAGTTGTATTAATGGTTGGAAATGACAAAAACATGTGCTGATTAGCTTAAGCAGAAAAGAAATTTATTGGAAAGTCTTTAGCACAAAAGCCAAAAGCCTGAGCTACCAACATGGGCGAAAATAGGGGATACCAGGCTTAGCTCAGGACGCCATCTTTGGGTACTCAGCCCTCCAGTAGACACTTCAAATAATCTCAGAAGTGCCTATACCCTTTGTGAAACCCTCAAAACTCCTAGCCCCATGTGGTAGCATCTGGCACACATTCAGGTTGGTGATCACTCTTAGATCATGTGACTGTTCTTAGGTGCCCCCACCCAAGTGATCATAAAGTAGAGATAGGGTCTTCCCTCTTTTTGTTGATACTCTCTTCCAGTCTATCACAAGAGTTCCTCAAGCCAAGAAGATGTCAGGATCCTGAGTGGCCAAAAGTAACAACTGCCCTATACAAACCCTCATTCATATGCTTTGTCATATCTTCCAATTACTGAGTGGCCACTGATATGAATTAATTTTTTTCCTGAGCTCAAAACACATAATAAACCATCAGTCACAAGTATATCTGTATTGTTATCCTCCTCCTAGTCTCATTCTCATCATCCTCATTGTCCTTAGCCAGTTCACGTCCTTATTCTTCAGGGCCACCTTTTCCTGTCATCTCCTCACCCATCAAACCTTTGCCTTCATTCTCCTCCCTATCCCAGTCACTGACTCTGCTTCCAGTCCATTGCAAAATGGGAGCAGTCACAAGGAAACCTGCACGTTGTTCTGCCCATCCACCAAGCATTGGAAGGGCACCTTATGCTCCATTTTCTTCCCTCCCACTGGCCTTTCTATTTGCTTATCAGACCCCACTCAGCAATTGTCCCCGTCATGTCTTCATTAATTTTGCCTTTGTGAAGGACCCATTGCATTCACATGCAAATATACTATGAGATTTCCCATCTTAAAAAAAAAAAAAAAAACAAACTCCCTTGAGCACTCTTCTTCTGCTAGCTATCATACTGTTTTTCTGCTCCTTTATACGTGATTTAAAAACAAAACAAACAAACAAAAAAAAGACCCAGGGATTTAGCTCAGTGACATAAGCGCCTGCCTTGCAATTGTAAGATGGGTTCAATCCCTGATGCCAAAAAACAAACAAAAAACTCCCCCAGATAGTTGTCTTACTCACCATTCCCATTTATTTTCCTCCCATGTCTTTAAACCTATTTCAGTCAAGCTTTACCCCATAAGTCTCCCTACATTGTTCCTATCAAGGTCACCAATGGCCTCCAGGTAGCTAATTCCAGTGGCCAGTTGTAATTCTTCAGGTGATTTTGACCTATTTGCCATGTACGACAAAGCTGGTCACTCCTTTCTGGGAATTTATATCCTGTGTTCACTGAGGTGCTGTCTTCCTTGGGTTTTTTCCTACCTCCCCAGCTTCTCTTTCTTGGTCTCCCTTGCTGCTTTGTCCCTGTGAGACCACTTCTCTCTCTGTGCTCCTACATAGCATCCTGTCTAGTCAGTCCTGAGTGTGCATCTCTAGCCCTGACACCTTCAGCTCCAGACTCATGCCTCCAACTGCCTTGGTATTTCCTTTAAAATCCAGTAGTCATTTAGATTTTCTCTGGTAAATCTTCTCTCTCCACAGTCTTTCCAGTCTCTCTGAGTGGAAAATCTTCTGCTTATTGAATTTAAAAACCCCAAGCTATCTTTGGCTCCTCTTTTCCTAAACCCTTCCTGTAAACCCTGAGAAAAAACTATTGGTTCAATCTTCAAAACATACTCAGAATATGTTTTGAGTTTATGATTCAAAACATACTCTCCTTACTACCCCAGCTGCTCGATCTGAGCTGTGTCACACCTGGGTTATTGCAGGAGCTCCCATCAGGCTTCTTGCTTCTCCCTTCATTGTTCCACACTGTTCCCATCACAGTCAGTGTGAGTGTTTCCCAGTGTGCGTGCGGGTCACACCACCCCTTGGTTCTGGGCACTACAAGGGCTCTGGTCTGGCTTACAGTAAAAGTGCAGGTGTCGACCCAAAAGGCCTTGTGACATCTGCCAGTGCCACCTGTTCATCTATCTAAGCTTATCTTCTCTTGTTCACTCCTCTCCACCCACACTGGTCTCCTTCCTCTTCTTTGAACACATCAGGTGCACACCTACCTCAGAGACTCTCCCTTCATTGGGCACTGAATCCTGCATATCTTATTCCCCTTTTTGTAGGTGCTCATTGAGGGGTTATCTCATTAGCAAGGCTTTGTGATCACTGTATTTAAAATCACAACTCATTTCCCTTTTAAATGTGGTACTTGCTATCCTCCTCATGCGTTCTCCAAGATGATATTTATAAAATATTTTATGATGAATGTGTCCTCTGTCTTCATGATTTCTAAGAACTCTGTTTTGTTCACTAGTTTTTCCCTTACATGCAGTAACCAGATGGTAATAGGTGTGCAAAATTAGCCAAATGAATGCATTAATTCCATGGATAGATTAAGTATTACAGTTTTACAAGTTCGAAATAGAGAATCTCCTTTGAATCACACAAGTATCTAATGTTAGGCAAGGCAGAGCCATGTGTTTTAGATGAGGATACTGGAGCTTATGGTGCCAACTGCCCCAGGACCTGTGCCTGGTTGGTAGAGTTCCTAGGATTGGAGTTCTGATTTTTTTGCCCCTACCCTCAACAATCCTGATGCTTCATGCTATATTAATATAATCTTCAGAGTATTAACTGAAGTTTTTTTTTTTCATTGCAGTATTGACGAGAAAACCCCCTATCTAGCTTTAGGGGCTGTGAAGAATATCTCTCTAAACATCTCCATCTCCAACCGTGGGGACGATGCCTATGATGCCAATGTGTCCTTCAATGTGTCCCGGGAGCTCTTCTTCATCAACATGTGGCAGAAAGTAAGGAAGACATTTTTCAAACTTCTGTTCACTTGCTGACTTTCTTTATAGGTTGGAGTATACATTGGTTCTACAAAGACTTTTTAAGGAATATTGGGAATTTTTAGAGTTTTTGTGTTTCCATACTGAACTTAGCATGTGTTAGTACAGCCAAAGAGGCAGCATAAACACTCTGGATTACTGTTGGTATCTTGCATTGTTCCCATCCCTTTCTTCTTTTGGACCCTCCTGCTATAGCTTTATGTCTGGCTCCTTTTCCAAGTCAGTATAGTTCTGTCTCCAGCACATTCATGTTCTAGAAGAATCTAGTTTTAGTTGATGTGAAAGTTAGTAATGACAGCAGATCACTGCTTATCATTCTGTTGTCATCCGTAATATACTTTATGTTTTCTATTAGGCAGTCCTCTGTATTGGCCTACTCTTTGACATACTTATTCTTGCTATATTCAAGTGAACTGAGGAAATCAAATTATTTCCATGAACTGAGTGAGAGTATTTTAAAGTGGACTGATTTATTTGAATGAGTCATGTATAGATAGCGTGACTCAAGAAAAAAGAAGTTGGTGTTCTCTCTCTACCATGACACCCCTCAAATTTTGAGGAGGCTGAGGAGCAGGCTCCTCAGGCAGCCAGGAGCAATGAGTGGACTCGCACAAAGCCCATTATACCTCAGCCCTGTGTTCAGGCTACTCAGATGGGAGAGGTTGCAACTCTTTACAGTGTTTACAGCATTGAGGTGTGGTGCCTGGGCTCTGCATTAAAGGGAACCAAAATCACTTTATCCCTGCCCCTCAATGAGCATGATTATGTCCCAGGTGCACATTTGAGTAGGCAGCCAGCCTCCTATTCAAGCAGTCATCTGCCAGACTCAACTGTTTTGACAAGACTGTGCCAACTTTATTGAGCCCAGGGAGCAATGGAAGCACATAGAGCTGCCCTGAGTGAGGGTGCTCCAAGAGCTTTCTAGGAAGTCATTGCAGATGCTGCTGTTTAATAGCTATCAGAAGCCTCTAGGTTGCAGGCCACAGATGCAATCAAAGACTGTAGCATGGGGAGAAGGTTTTATTCAGGAACCAGACCTAGATAACTTAGCTTTGTAGTAACTAAAAGGAGGTGGTTAATAACTCGGTCATTAGGCAACAGACTCTTCTCACTCAGGACCTGTGGCAGAAATTTCTCTGTGGCCTCAGGTTTGGAAATAGCTACCTTTTCCTGGTAATTTTGGCTTTGTCTGTTTGTTCATTTATTTGTTTTTTAATCTCTGGACATAGTCTGTGACTAGACTTCATTCTTGCTGTCAGCTAGTAGAAAATTCAGAGCTGGCCTCTATCAATGTATAGGTCTTGACCTGTTATTCTATAAACCAGGTAGCTGCCTGTACCTTGCTTTGCTTTCCTTTGTCATGTTTTTCTTCTTGGCTTGATAATCTTCTGTCATACAGATATGTGATAAATCACCTTCAGATTCCTTTTATGGCATAGGCAGATTATTTATTAGTTTAGAGATTACATAATCTTCCATATGGGTATTATGAATTGTCTACAAGTTCTTATTAGGTATTTAGATTATTTCTAGTTTTCAATTTCCTTATAGATAATACTCATGTATATTATAAACAGTATCAGCAAATGATCATATTTTTAGTTCTGTAGCTGTTCAGGGGATGGGAGTTACCATTTGACCATCCACTTATATACCAAGGACCTCATGTACATCTCCCCATTTTTTCTTCCCTACATGGGATCCAGTGCATGTGGCTTATTGATAATTTCTCTCAGAAAACAGTGGAAGAGGCAATATAGGAAAGAGAAATAAGTGTGCTTTCAGGTCAAATCTAGCCTTGATCCAACACATGGGATAGAAACAGATTGGGGGAGTTAGCAGGCTTATCCTCCCTTGAAGTTACAGAGGACAGCATCTTTTTCTACCCCTACATCATCATTGGCCACTTGGTCAAGTGTGGTGAGTCGCCTCTCTTTCTAGACAAGCTCTACTCGATTAAGGACAGTGTGCCTGAGAATGACACATGTATGAATCACTAGTCACTGAGCTGACTGTGGGGAATATGGAGGTTGCAACTGGGCAGAAAGGTGATAGCATTAGTATAAGAACGGAGGCAGGGCACAAAGACAACATGACGGTGTAAGGAAGGAGAACACCCAGAGAAACAGATGAGCAGTATGACCCCCAGTGTAGTAGGAGAAGGAACAATAAAGAAACAAATTCTTCTCCCATGACAATCATACTGCAAGGTTGATTAACGAGTGATATAATTGGCTTCAGCCAGATCAGGACAAGTTTCTAACCACACGTATGTGGGGAGTGAGGTACAGTGAGTGGTAGAGAGCTCACATAGCCTGTTTAGCAATGCATAGACCTAACAGAACTGGCACAGGTCCTTCAGAAAGATTCAAACCCAGAAAAGCATAGCTCCAGTTACAGATGGATGGCATAATTTTTAAAAAGATTATTAACAGAAAACAAAAGTAAAATTTCCAGAACGTCTACTTCTATCCTTAAGGAAATTCAAGAAAAAAAATGACTGTGAAAGATTAGATAGTTAAACAATAGAAAGGATGAAAATGGAGTGAACTGGGAGGCCAACAAAAGTGCAGGTTGTAGGTGAGATAAGGAAATATTCTAATGAGATCAAGAAAGCAGTGGCGGAATCAAAGTGTGTGTGATGAGCAGGAAAGAGCTGAAATAACAGGACAAGAATTGGATCCATTGTTCTGGAGGTGTATTTGAGAAGATCCATGAGAATTTGCAGCAAAAGATTACAGTGAAGACTATAAATAAAAGGTGAGAACTGGAGAATCAACAAAGAGAAGATGGTTCAAAAAATACTGGAATAGAAGACAAGAGCAAAAACTACTCCTTGGATATAAAAGAAAAATCTCCAATTCTTAAATGTCTGCTGCAGATATCAGGCAGAGCTATTAAACACACTTTAATATTTGCACATATATTTGTGAAATTGAATTTTAAAGATATAAAAATTATGCTATTAACACTTGATACAAAACAAAGAAACCACTTTTCTAGAAAGTGTTCTATAACAATAATATCAAAAATTAGAATAATATATTCTGCTGCAAATTCAGAATTCTACAATCTAGCCAACTTGCCCTCCATTGTGAAGTCATCATGAAGATATTTTCAGATATGGAGTTCATACTCTACAGACTTTCCCAGCTTGGCTTCCCCTCAGTATAGACCCTGGTGCAATGATGTAGGTGCCCATGGTTTATGTAGGGCCACTTGGCACAAGAAAAGGTCTTGGCTTTTCTTGACTCTGTAGCACAGGAATGGTTGCATTTAGTCAGCAATTATTGAGTACTTGATAAGTGCCAGGGGCTGTATCAGGCCACTAGTAGTCTCAATGACAAAAATCTATTCCCTGTTCCCAGGGATCTCACAACTTAAGGGCCAAAAGCATGTCATCACATAATTAAAGCACAAGGTGCCAGCTGCCCTGTAGACGTGCTGAAAAGCTCCTTTGAGGGAAAATATAACAAGGTGATGCAAGCCATTACTCCAACAGCTAGATGGGTTGACCTCAGAAGGAACTGCTATGAGCAGGTGATGTGAGCAGAGGAGAGCCAGGCCTGTCTATGTGGCTAGCACAGACAAGAGTTGGGCTGAAAGGGTTGGGGAGAGCAAGAAAGCCTTCCCAACAGAGTGGAAACAAGCTGCCCTGTGGGACAAAGGCCAGTGACATTTTTAGTGGCGGGGTGACAAAACATTTTAGAAATGCTGATGCCTGCAGTTCTAAGGTTTTCAGGTCTCCAGCCTCATGAGCAACTCATGTGACTGAGAGGGGTTATGAGGGGAAAGTGAGTGGGTCTGTAATTCCAAGGGACTGAGACCACATATGCATCTCCATGGTATTGATCTGTTCCAGGGTACATATTGGTGCACAGACATGGACATGAAAATACAAGCTTCAGGCCAGGTTCAGAGGGTTCATACCTGAGTTTGGGTACAAAGGGGAGGCAGCCATTTGTGAGGGAGTTACAGAGAAGCTGTGCCACGAGAGAAGGGAAAATAGCAGAATAGGCTTTTAGAGGATTCTTTCACACAGTGTGATATGACGTCTTGTTCTGGGACTCCCAGACACTGGCCTGAAAGCTAGGACTCGAGGGCCAATTGATTCAAGGCAAGAAACAATGATGGGACAGTGAAACAGCAAGAGGCCGCAAATGAAAAGTGAGCTGTTAAACCAGCCAAAGTGGGCAGTGGGGTTAGCCCTGCAGGACAGCCTGGGAACAGTGTGGAACACATCAAGGAGGAGGGAGCTGTGGGACTTAACATCTCCTGGGAGGCCATTCCCAGTGTTTCTGCCCACCAGCTGCATAACCAGAAGGCTTCCTTGGGTGTAAAGGTACAGATCCTGGTGAGTGAAAACAGCTGGAGCGCCCTGAAATGTGCAAGGCATGTGGTTGGGGCTTGTCATCATCTGCAGGGCTCCTTGAAGCTACAAGCTGGCCTGATAATCTCTGGAGTTCTAGTGCAAGAAGTAGTGACACATGCCACACAGTCTACAGGGATGAGGCAAGGCAGGTGTGTAAATAGGCAAATGGATCTGGAGATGGGGCAGTAGAGAGAGGTGGAGATGGGAAAATGGATGGTACCATTTTCAGCCATAGGGTCAGCTGCTGCTCCAGCAGCACTCAGGGACCACAGGGAAAGGGTTTCTGAGGACTAGTATTATCAGTTTCCCTATTGTATAATAAAAACAAAAAATTCACATTTGTATGTGATCTCATGACTTTGGCAGCTAATTAAAATGTTTTCTGAACATTGTATGAACCAAGCAAAACATGTCCACTGACCACATCCTGCAGGCCACCAGCCTGGGACTTCCAGCATAGCCGCTTCCCGTATGTTCTAGTCCCATTCTCTTGCCTGCCTGCCTGTCTCATGGATCTGCATTTCTGGCAGAACTTTCTGTCTGCAGTCTTGTTGCATGTGATGTCCTTCCCTTGGCAGCGGATAAA